CCAAGTTTTATTGGGCTTCCTGTGTTCAGTTTAGGGGAAACAGACAACAGGAGTTGTTTGAAATAAAGCTGTAATTTACTAGCCTAACATGCTGAGAAGCAATTAAATTCAAGCTAATTACTGTAAATAGTTTTTATAATTACTTGTAAAACATTCTACTACCTGTACATCTGTTAAAGTCAGTTGAGGCGTTTAGATTTTCTTTTTCTTTTTCTTTTTCTTTTTCTTTTTCTTTTTTTTTAAGAGAAGGCATAATGTTATTACTCAAGGGCCAAACTATTTGCTTGAAATCTTCAAAAACAGCTAGCTATGCCATAGAAACTATTGATGGAAAACACCTGGTAGGGCATGTATTATATCCCCTTGACAGTACTGAGTGGGTATACCAGTAAACTATCTTGAGTATTGTCTAGGCTGGTTTGCATTTCACAGCTATATCTACTACCACCTGGAACGATTGTTCCAGAACTTAAAAGGATCTTTCGCTAAAGCAAACACACTGACCAACTTGCAGCTGAATGCTGGTTTTCTTAGCTTCATCCTATTTATCAGTTTTTTTAATCTCTATTTGAAGCATAAAGGAAAATATTCTCTTCCTTAGGTCCTTCTACCACAACTACTTTTTTTTTTTTTTTTTTTAAAGCTAGACATGGTTAGCCCTGGCCTGATTCATAGTTTTACACTGCCTTTCGAGGAGTGCACAGACTGGTTGGAGTCCCACCATCTCCGCTTCTTCACATTCACATTTATCTGTAATTCTTTCTATTTCCATAGGTCTTCCAGTTCTTCTGCAGGACTTGATACTCAAGTGTCCCTGGTTTGGCCAACTGGTTTCGCCCAGAATGATGGGTGCTCAGCAACATCGGCGTACATTTCTAACCCCTCATGGAAAGTATGCAACTGTGGATCCCACATTTCCAGTTGTGTAGCTGCTGACAGTTTTTAGATAGCTTCACAAGAAAGAAGTTCTTTCATAATTCTAGATTGTCAGAAGCTACCAACCACTTCATTGTGTGGAGTCTGCTTCATCAGCAGACATCAGGTCTCCTGATGTCTGTCGGCAACTCCAACATGCATGTACAGATTGTTCACATTAGTCTAAGCATACAATAATGCATTGGCATTTTTTTTTCAACAAAGTGTGTGACTTCTATGCATATACCAGTCCTTCCCAGACCAGACATACATATTCAGCTGCCAAACAACAAAATGCAAATAAATAGAGGAACTTGCAGTGGTGTTGGGTTGGCCAGCCATTTAGAATTTATGAGCTTCCTCTAGGCTCTAATCTTACCACCACAATGAAGCCAAGTACTTGTAACTCTGAACAGAATACGGTATGGGACCTGTCAACAATAAGGTTGAGATCAGCTCTCTGAATATTGGAAGGTGAGGGGAGACAGAGGAACTAGAAGGTAATTTTTGCACTTTCTGTAGCTGATGCTTCACTGACTTACTCCTGCACTGGGAGGACTTTTCCTTGCATGCCTTTGCCTTTTTAACTTGTAACTTTACATGGGCCCTGGGTAGTTGACTGAAAAGCTGCCAACTACTCTGTAGTTAATAGGGAAAATGGACAGAGCCCAGGCTGATGGCCACAAGCTGGTGTGATGGGATTTCATGGCTCTTGGAACGTCCTGCAGGCCTGGTGTATTTTAGCAATGGTAGCACTTAAGAACTGCTTATAAACAGATATACTGTTGGCCTTCAAGTGAATATTAAGATATTATAGCAATAGAGATGTACCTCCAAAAGGGAAGTAAACAAAGAAGAGGAAAACAAAGCAATCTGAAAAAAATCTAAGATGTACGCACTTTCAAAAGTTTTTAAAGTGATTGTGTATTAAAAAACTCCTATCTTATTATTTTCCCCTTGAAACGCTCCTGTTTTAAGATCTAAATACATAAAAACATTCTATTTTTAAAAAATGACATATGGCACAAATTGGTACCAGTAAATAAAAGCATATAAAGCTAAATTGCAGCATGCTAGATGTTAGTAAAAATGACAAAATAAAATACTAGCTATATAAACTGTGCACAGGTGTGTAGCATATTACAAGCAAGAAACATATCTTGCAATTATAAGCCTACAGTATTTATTTCGCTTGTCTGTAATTACATTTTATACATGTTTGTTTAGTAATATCAATCCAAGACATCATTTTGAGAATATAATTAACTGCATGTTAGAACAGAATGTGTTTGACTGTTTTTGCATGTTGCAATACTTAAGTCCTCGTTAGTTGTGTTTAAGTGCCATCTAGTGTTACAGTTCACCAATTTCTCTCGTAACACCCCTTTCTCCTAAGTTTTCAAAGATCAAGTTATGGGAATAAGGAAAACCTAGGGCCATAATGTCCTCATTTCAGTGTTAACAGCAAATCCTTAATCCACACTTGCACAGTAACTACACAGGGACAAGATCTTACACCTAGCACTCACTAGCACTCATTCCCTGAAGACTACTACCAAGCAACAAAGAGACTATGCCAGTGTTAAACCGTATAATAATGCCTGCACAATTGGGCAGTGAACACAGATTTCAGTGCCTCATTCATATGCAGTTAATTTTTAAGATTTTTGTTGTAACTTTTTGTTATTCAATCAATGAGCCAACAGTAAACTCACTTAAAGACAAATATATTTAATGAAAAGAGGACAAAGTTTCTGGAGGAAAAAACCTTTAAAATTTGTTCTATAACACATGCAGTATAACAGGAAAATGAGAAAAAAACACAACATATTAATCTATAGCGTGTGCTACAATTAGGTGCCAGTACATTAAGATATGTTAGAGAATGTTTTTGCTCATGCAAGTCCTACCCTGTTCCTACACTGACCCATGCTGACTTCACTGCGGGTGCTTTGCAGATGCCACAAACTATCTATTCAAAGCAGTCTGCTGTCAGGGATTTCTGCCTCTTACCATCAGTTTTCTAATAAGTTTAAAGCTTATATTCTTGACAAGTTGAGAACTGAACTAGGTTAGATAGCACTTCTAATGAAAAAGAACATTAATACTGAAAAATTAAATACAGATGAAAAAATACTAAATTCAAAAGCAAATACTCATTAGCTATAAACTTAGAGTGTTTTATCCCACTGTCACATAAAGTGTTCCTCAGGAAATTATGGTTTCCATCCTGTCTCTGCTGCTGCAACACTGAGCAACTGATAGTATCTGTAGCCTAAGTAAAATTGTCTTTGCATTCTCACTACAAATGGCATATATAATGGCTTATGTAAACCAAACTTCAGTTTGCCTGTATTCTTTCTAAAATCCACTAAACACTACCAAATAAAAAAGACGACTACCATTAAAGAGAACTGGTAGAGCTGAAAGTAGAACATGTAAAACACTTAGGGTTTCCATTGAATTCAGTGAGACTGTAACCATTAGCTTTCCACACCATTAAAAACGAGGACTGACTCTAATTTCGCTGTATCAGTTATTGAAAAGTCTTGTCTTCAAATCACAGAGGTAAGCTTTTAAGTACTACTTAGCCTGAATGCTGCAATAAGCAGGAGCAAGTTGACGAGTACATTAAAGAATTCCTACTTAATTATATGTCATAGAGTGAATTAATGCAAGTTTATTGGAGAAGCATAAAATCAGAGAATGATAAAAACAGAAAAGAGATAAAGAGCTGAAGAATCACCAGAAAGAGAATCTTCTGATCTGCGATAAGAAAGGCTTGTGATGAGACATCCTAAACACCAGGATAAGAGAATGTTTGAAAAGAAAAATGAGGAAGACGAGCCTTTTCAGAGCACCTTTTAGAAATCACCCACAGCTGCAAACGTGCATAAACCTAACAAGCAGCAGTGAGGAAAAATGAACAAACTTTTCATTTCCATTTGGCTTAGTTTTTTGTTTTTTCTGTAAAGGCAAAACATTCTGGAAAAAAATGGATTAAATCGTGCTTTTTAAATAGCACCTTTTGATAAAAGTTTGAACACAGATAGCTCGAGTCAGCCTCAGCAACTCTTCCTTTTTAAAAGCCTGGAAGAAATTCTGCTCTCAAATACAGCGGGTAAGACCACCCCAAACCCTTGGAAAAGGCACGCGGAGACTTCGGCCGCAACTTGCAGCAGCGTTTTCTAGGCCAAAGAACCTAAACGTGTGCCTTGTGGAGGTAAGCAGCAATTTGTTTCAAATATAGCTCTACCTCACTAAAGAACATCAGGGCATTGGGGAGGAGTGGATGCTGGAAGAAGCAGGAAGATGCGAACACGATCCTTAACACCGACACGCTGTCACTTGAATGGGGGGGGGGTCGTTCTTCCTGGGTGCGTTTGGCAAGTTTGCCAAGTCCACTAAGCTTCTCCAGCACCATTGCCAACTTTGTGTGTTGGGGAGGGGCTTGGCTCAAGTGATGCTGGCTGGGGGCAGCGACAGCACGGCGCTGGTGCCCGAAACGCTGCGGCGATCGGGTGAGTCTCAGCCTGCCCCCGACCCCCTGCCGTGCGCGCCC